CCAACCAAAGTCTGCATACAGAAAGCTGTAATCTTCAAAAGTGCATTTCGAATCGTGAAAAGCCTATTGCCTTAAATATATATTTAGTTTCAGGTATTGGGACTTACCACCAACAACAAGAAAATCTTTGCATAATCAAGCCATCTATTAGCATTTATGAAATATTTTCATTTCTGAGTTGTCCTCCTTAGTAAATTGGAAAATTCATCAATGTGGTATATAATCACCATCGTACAGAAGGTACAAAAGGAGAAAAGGAAAAGGGAATGCTCAGGTCACTCACAACATTTCTTCCTGGGATGTTGTCCAATTCCTCCCCATTTCTGTCCTCACCTTTCTGGCCAAATCTTACCTTCTTGATCACTTTGGTATTCCCACTGCCTAGGACAGTACATGGCATGGAGAAGGTAGTAAATGCATTTGTCTGCAGAGAATTTCACAGTGCATATATATTCTACTCAGACTCTTATTTTTCTTTGTATCTATCGTCTATGCCTCGGACAGGTACCTCATCTACAATACATTATATTTAGAGTGCTGCCTAATTTCCTGAGTTAGATAAATAGTTTGACAATGATATAAAATCTTTTCTTCACTGTGGGTGGGACTGTGAATGGTTACAACCATTTGGATGCCCATCACTTTTTTACCCTTATAGTCAAGAATGTTCAATGACAAATTGCAGAATGTAGTTTGTAAGAACAAAAAAGAGAAGAACGGATAAACAGTGGTATAGTCACATGAGGCAATGGTGCAGCCTAGTGGAAAAGCATCAACTGTCCTTACACAGATTATCAATGGATACTCTCCCAAATGGATGCTGAGGAAAAAAAAAAACTACATTGCACATCATTTATATAAAGTGTCAAGACACGAAAGCCATACTATCTATTTTATTATCTACTACACATTGCAATTATTTTTTTAAATGCATCAAAATGTGAAGCATTACATTTAGCAGAGTGGTTGCCTTGGGGTTAGAAAGGGATATTGCAGTCAAGAAGAGTACCCAGGAACAGGGAACACTGGGGAATCCAAATGAACTGGTAATGTTTTACTTTTTAAACTGGATGTTGAGAACATGAGATTTTTTAATTATTATTTTTCTCTTTACCTTTCTGCAAATCTGAACTACTTTTTAAAGGAATAAGAATATAACATTAACCAGGTCATAGTTAACCTATTGTGGGATAAATATCCTAATTAGATTCTTCTTCTCTCAACATTGTTAAGGAAAATGCCACCTTGAATAGAATGGTATGTCAACATGAGGGGCACCCTTTATACCAAACATGGAGAAGGGACATGAACCCCAAATATGGGAGCCCACAAGAACAGATATGAAATCTTAAAAAGCAAAGGAAACACATTGTATTTAGCCACTCAATAAAATGTGAACAGAGACACAGTGACCAGGAAGCCACTGCCCATTGTCTCAGTCTTAAGAAAGGCCCTCCCCTGCTCAGAGTATTTCTATAAATTGGGTAAACATCTAAGTTGTCATCCAAATAACATAGTTTTAAAAGCAAACTGTTAAAAACTACACTGGGGCAAAACACGTAAACTAGGACTGTCCCAGGAAACCAGACTGAAGGGGCACACTGCGTACAGACCACAACTGGTAGATGTCCAGGGCAGGAACAGGTTTATCTAATGTAGTGGACTTTATGGAGGCAAATATGAATAGGGAATATTTGGGATTAGGCAAATATGAATAGGGTAAATGTCATTAGACTGGGTATCTAGTCTAGGTCCCTTAAAAACGATTTCAGATTTACAGAAGGTGACAAGAAGAATAACAATGAAAAATCTCACGTTCTCGATATCCAGTTTAAAAAGTAAAACAATAAAACTTTATAACTTAGGCACTCTATTTGAAATACTATTTTTAGATGAATTGGAGAATCAAAGAACTGGAAAATAAACTAACAAAAATTGGGTTGACATAGGAGAGAAGTGAAATTTGTCTTCTTTTACAGTGGTCTTTCTGGAGATTTTGCCTAAAATCAACATTTGTGAATATCAGATGTTGGCGTTTAATTTAGAGTGATAGGGGCAATTTTTAAAGTTTTAAGCGGTTATTGCTGGCAAGTGGAATAGCAGATAGAGGAGTAATTGTGTCAAAATCCATCTCTGTGGTTGGAGACATTCTTTACCATAACTGTGCATTTTTTTATAATTAAAATATGTCTGAAGTTTATATAAAAGATAATATCCAGTACTCACAAGTATATGGGGTTAATAATAGTAATATCTAATATTTTTATTGAGCATTTAATATACGCCATGTTCTCTGTTAAATGCTTAATATGAGTTATCGCATTTAATCTTCACAACAATCCCATGAGTGGCGATGCCCACATTCTAGAAGAGGAAACTGGGACATTGGAGGAGGGTAACACAGCTTGTCCAAAGTTACACATCGCTCATAAGCACAGGACCTGAGACATGTATCCAGGCAATCTAGCCCCCAAGATGCCCTCTCAAACCATTCCGTCTCCTACTTGAACACGATGTTGCAGGGAGTAGAAATTGGTGTAAGTTTTCATGTAGTATTTTGACAACGTGAATCAGAACGTTTAGTGTGTACACTCTTTGACTCAGAAACTCTATTCCTATATATTTATGCTGAGAAATAACTGTTAAGTACACCCCAAGGGGTATTCAAAGGAGTATGCAATGCATACGAAGGCAAAAAAAATGAATATCCATCAGTGGAGGATTGATTTTTTTAAAATTATGATATATTCATACAATGTAATACTCCCAGTCTATACTTATTTAAATGGAAGATTAACACTGCTATATTGAACAGGCAAGTTGCAAAACAGTATTCATATGATCTTGTTTTTGTAAAAAATAAAAAGTATATAAACACAGTCAGAGAAAACAGGTGGGAGGCTCTTCCCTGCGATACTTCCAGGGAAATGCAGGAATCCCATCTGTATTAATTACCCCTATTTATTCAGGCCTAAGTAGTGGAGAATATGTGCTGCAGAAGTACTTGTTGAACTAAGTCAAACAAATTTGTTTCCAGGGGATTTTTCACTTTCTACTTTCTACCTTCAGCCATTGTTTCAGCTTTTACAAGAATGGTGGGCATTGCTGGTATAATTATGGAGGGGAAAAAAAAACAGTAAAGGTATCTTTATTGTGGTAAAAAAAAATCAATCAATGAATCAATCTAGCCATGCAGAGGCAATGCTGACGGAATTAAAAACCACACTAGATTTGCCTCCACCAGACTTGAGTCTGCAGTCTGCCCTCCAGCTCAGGCACTTACTAGTTGGGGACATCAGTCTCTTAAACCTCACCCACAGGCTCTCTTCTTTCCTTCTCTAAGTTTTAAAGCATAGCTCTGCTACTTTCATAAAAAAAAATTATTCCAATATTTATTTGCAAAGCAAAGAACTGGGCTAGCTGCCTCAAGGAGGCAAGAGAATCATCCATGCCTCAGGGACCAGAAAAGCACCAAGAGGTTAAGGTTACAGAGGCAGGGCTGCTGAGGACTTGGTTTGGGGTGGGGCTAGATGGGATGGGGGGGTGTTTGCTTTGGTTTGGGAACACCATCAGGAGGTGGAGGCCATAACTTAAAGGGCTACAAAGCCTGTTTACCCTCTCATTCTTCTCAAAGAGAATAGGCTGACCCAGCCCCAGCCTCCTACCAGGCAAACGAATAGTCACTCCATAAATATTTGTTGCAAAGAAGAATGAATAAGTGAACATGTCAGACATTCTTTTCATTGGTCTTGCTGTGGCAGTAAAAGCCCTAAAAACCACAACTGGAAAAAATGCAAGATTTGATAAATATTGAGTTTCAGGAAGAAAAAAATGTATTTATAAACTAATTTGTTTTCAATATAAGACCTTGTATGTAAGGTTCCAACACAGTGAATTTTTAGAGTGAAGCTATAAACTTGAAAATGGGGATTATGAACGTGGACACTATAATTTATAATACTTGCATAGCTTTCAATTATTCAGGTGCTCAAAGCCCAACAAATTGAATAATGAACAGGGGTAATGAATTGAACGCTGAGAAGATGATAACAGAAAGCCCTGGGAAGTCACCACCGAGGAATTCACATACAGAAGTAGCTCTGAAAGAAACAAACTTGTTTGAAGGACATATTTTTTTTTCTTTCAAGCCAAAACATTTACGGAACAGCCATGCAAGTAGGAATTGCTGTTAAGAAATACTTGTTAAAGGCATAAAGCTGCTAAAATAGTATATTTCAGATGACCAAACAGAGAATTAGAATCATAAATTGGCCTGTAACATTCTCAGAGAGGACAGTTCTCTATTTCATTATTTTTAACCACACGGAATAGGGGGGAAACGCGGTCGTATAAATTATTAAGCACATTGCTTTATATTTAGGCTTGGGAGTGTGTTGATATTCCACAGATCCTAAAGCATGGGGTTCTTAACAGTATTTCATACAATACTGCAGATCAGAAATTTAAATAATGAAATGGCTTCTGAACTCACTGTTCAGACCTGGTCGGATGATGCATGCTTGTGTCCTCAAGTGAAGGTTCCAAAGGAAGGATGCCTATTAAGCCTCATACGGCATCTCTACTTTCAGTGATACTGCAGACCAGCGCAATGTGCAGTGGCCAAAGTCATGGAAAGATTTGTATTAAATGCAATTAGCTAAAGTCAATAAAAATTAACAATCCCCCTTACCCCCAACCCCCACCACCATCACACACACTATTCAGTCTGCACTCTCATCATCTTCCTACAGAAAGTATATATACCAGAGCAACTTAAAAAATCATCTGTCTTCTAGAATATTGCAAGCCAGGAAGTAATGCTAGATCGTGTATTGCCCATGAGGTAAAATAACAGGTTTCAAATCTCAGCTTCACTGGTTTCTAGTTGTAACTTAGGCAAACTGTCTAACCTTCCAACATTCAGTTCCTTTATCTGAATAATGGGGAAAATAACAGTGCCTACCTCATAAGAGCATTGGGAGTGTTAAGTAACACATGCAGTGCTGGCTTCGGCAGCACATCTACTAAAATCGGAACGATACAGAGAAGATTAGCATCTTACACAAGGATGGCACGTAAATTCATGAAGTGTTCTGTACTTTTTAGGAAACAAACTTATGGTTACCAGAGAGGGGGTGGGAAGGGATAAATTGGGAGTTCCAGGTTTGCAGATACTAACTACTACATATCAAATAGGTAAATATCAAGTTTCTTCTGTATTGCACAGGGAAATATATTCAATATCTTGTAGAAATCCATAATGGAAAAGAATATGAAAACGAATATATGTATGTATGTGTATGACTGAAACATTATGCTGTACACTAGAAATTAACACATTGTAAACTGACTTTACTTCAATTAAAAAAAATATATACATATATATGCAAAACATTTAGACTAGTTCCTGGTCCGTAGTTAGCGCTCAGTGAGTATTAGCTATAATTACTGGCTAAAGCCTCATTGGC